GGGGCCCGGTCCCCAGAAGCAATGGCGTGGGGCAGGTGAGGGAGGGCTGGCCAGCGTGCTAAGGGCTCCCAGGACGGAGCCGGCCCACGCAGGGCCAGCGAGCGGCGCCTGCCCCCGGCCCTTCCTGTGCAGAGAGGGAAGGCGGCAGGCTCCCGCGACATCAAACACATCTGGGTAATGCAGACAAGCTGTGGGAGGGGCCAGCCCCGCGCAAACGAGAAACATGTGGCGCACACTTCCCCTCCGCTGGCTGCTGCACGGGGTTTCCAGGCCGAGGGAGAAGAGCCCAGCGGGCCAGGAGGAAGCGCAGCCAGGTGCTGAGATGCGGACGTCAGGGGGAGCTGAGGGGTCCAGGTGGGGAGCTGGACCGCGCTGGGCCAGGAGGCAGGGCGCGCCGGTCCGGCTACTCCTCCTATCGTCTTATTCCAAAAGGAAAGATGGGATGGAACATGGACAGGTGTCTGACCTCTATCACAAGGAAGAGGCTCTGTAGAAGGCAGGCGGCTTCGTCGGTGAGAACCCGCGGGCGGAAAAGCCCAGAAGACGGAGTCTGGGCTCAGCAGGCTTTCTAGTAATGAGTGCTTTCCAGGAAAATAGGTAGTGAGCTCTCTGTCGCTGGGAGTGTGCAAACAGAACACCCACCTGCCTACAGTTGCTACAAAGGGATGAATTTCAGCTCTACGTGGGTGGCTCAGCCTGGTGGTTTCCATTCTGTGGCTCCGTGACGTCCCTCTGCACAGAGGACGGGCCGTCCCTGCCGGCTGTGCGGGAGGCCCCGTGTGTGGGGCGGAGCTGGGCAACAAGGGTGCTGGGCTGCAGGGGTGCACCCAGGGGCTCTCAGCCTGGTCACGGACTGGCTGTCCCTTGAGCCCACGGAGCACCTGCAGTCCTTGGGGTCAGAGGCTATGAGGCGCGGCTGTGTGCGTGGGGGGACAGCTGCGGAAAAGGGCGAGGTCGGAGGTTAGCAGGAGAGAAGGTTTCTGGTGTTGGCAGCCTATGGTTGGGGACAGGTCACAGAGGGTGGGCAGCTGTGGCCACAGTAATGGATATGGAGGAGGGTGGGGAACAAGAGGAAAGTGTCACAAAACACCCCAGCATTTCGGTGACTCAGGCTTGTTACCCATCCGATCCTCCTCCCGAAGGGACCTGGGTGATCAAGGACGCATCCCTGGCTTGGTTCATGCATAGGGAGCACGTCTGCCCCGGGCCCTTCTGCTCCATCTGCTCCATTTCTCCAGAGCAGGAGAACTGGCCCGAGACCGGCTCACCCACCCACTGCTCCCCAGGGAAGCAGAGCCAAAGCGAGGCCCCGGCCAAAGGTAACGACAGGACTTGGGGCCTGCAGACCACTGAGCCTGGGCTTAGGGAAAGGACACGAGCGCCTCAGTGCTGGGCCGGAGGGCGGCAGGATCCTTACAGCTCCGAGGGCCTGCCCAGCGCCTGTCCGCACCCAGGGCCCCTGCGGCCGGCCCTCCCCAGCCCTCCCCAGCCCGCGGTTGTGCACATCGCTGGCCAGCGGCGGCCAGAGCCCCGCTCTCCTGCAAGGCCTGGGGGCCCCTGGGGAGGCATCAGAACAGCTGTGGGTGTGAAGCCTGTGCTGGGGGCGCTTGCATGTCCCACCTGTGCACTCCGGAAACTGGTTCTTGTCTGAAGAACATACAGAAACTGCTGCACCCCCGGCCCCCAGGCCCCCCAGTGCCTGGGATGGAAAGGAGGCTGAGAAACCACTTCTTCCTCCGCCTCCTCAAAGCTTCCCAGAACGTTCTCTAATGGAAGCCCACCCTCCCCCTCCCCCCAAAAAAACCCCTCATCAACCACGTGCCTTACAGATGGAGAACTTCCTGACTCCTCTGAGGATCTAACTGTTGTCAAGGCAACCCCCGTGAGGAAGCGAAGAAGCGAGGCCAGGGTTCCTGGGTTCCCCGACGCCCTGACTTTGGGCTGCTTTACTGTCCCAATTCGTCCCTTTGCATGGAGGGTGGCAGCGGGGAAAGCTAAGCTGGTGGGGACTTGACCGACATATTCTGCTTTGAGCTCCTTGGCCCAGGGCTGGGGTTAGGGACAGTGTGGCCTGGAGCGGGGCTGGAGTATTAGCTTCTCTGTGTGAACTGCTCTCCCTCCGCCTCCGGGGACATTTTCACGGTGCAGCCCTCTCACTCTGCACCCCCTTCCCCAGTCCCTACAGGTAAGGAAAAGCCATGAGGGCATCTCACCCATTCACAAATGGGGAAACTGAGTCCCAGAGGCAGTCCTAGAGCTCAGGACTCCCGGACAGGCAACTCAAGATGGCAGCCCTCCCCCCATTTGTCCCAGACCCAGCGGGGGGGCGGGGGCCTCTCCTCTGGGAGTCAAGCTGCCTACTGTGCGCTACCAGCTGTGACCCTGAGGCATCTGGTTTTGGGGACTGCCCCATGTCACCCAGGCACTCATCCCTCTGTCTCCAAGTCTCTGGGGTTCCCCAGTGGGACCCCAGTTATTTGGCAGCTTCCGAGGCAGGAAAGGGGCAAGGCGCCTGCCTGCACCATCTGGGCCCCAGCTGATCTCGGGGAAGGGGGTGATCGGGTTTCACCCTTCCCTGTTATTCCAGAAAGGCTCTTATTTGGGGCTGCCTCACCCCCTGCCTTAGAAACTGGGTCTTGGCAGCTTCTTGGGCCTGGGATGGTACCGGGCAGAGCGTGTAACCTGACCCTGAGCCTCACTGTGGGGAGACAGACACCCTTGTCTTCAGCCACTCTCCAGAGGCGTCAAGGCAGCCATTCCAGTCCCCAGAGGCCACCCTGCTCCCCACCGGGCGTTCATCCTGACCACAGAGGACACCTTCCTGGGCTCTGAGACTGACCCGGCTCTGCTGTCCCCCCGACCCTCACCGGTCAGCCTACCCTGCACCCCCACCCACCTTGGGTCCTTTCAGCCAGAGATAAACCAGCAAGTTCGCCAGACTTTCCAGCCTTCTCTCCTCACCCAGAGTTAAGGTCCTCTGTGGGGTCATCAGGGCAGAGCTGGTGGCCTTGGTCAGGCTCCTCTCAGTCAGGTCTCCTAGAGACCTGTGGTTCAGCACTCAGGAGACCATGAACTCGGATGATTCTAAGGCCCTCCCAGCTTCTGAGCCGGCACTTTCCCACCTGGGAGTTGGGGGAGGGGCTCCCCTATCAGGGTGCTTGGAGAGGTGACAATGCCAAGTGGGAGCAGAGACCATAGCTCAGCCCCTTTCCAGCCAGTTGAGCACCATTTGTCACGGTGTCTGTGGTTCCTGCCTCCTGAGAAGCAACTTAAGGGGCTTCAGCCAGGCAGCCATGTCCTCGGGCAGCTGGGACGTCCAGGTCTGGGGACAGCCCAGAGCAGCCAAGTCATCCCACACAGGGGAAGCCCTGACCTTGAAAACGGAGCTGTGTCCTCTGCTGTTGGAATTCCTGGCACTCCATCCCGCCCACCCACCTCTCCGTCCCTTGGGGCATGTCCCCTCCACCTGCCCAGTCTGCCTGTGCGTCCCCTTCCTCCTCGGGCCTCAGCCACAATTCCGTCACCACCTCCTGACAGAGGCCTCCGCAGGCCTCCCCCCAGCTCCCCTCCATCACGTGGTCCCCTTTCCTTTCCTTCACAGCTGTCCTTGGAGCCTGGAATTCTTTCTCTTTTCCTTTACTGTCTGTCTCACCACACTAGCCTGTAAGCTCCGTGAGGGCAGCACTGGGCACAGGGGGGCACACTCCCTGGGGCCCCCCAGGTCAGTGTCTGCACCCACAACTCAACCCCCACTTGGCCCTGCAAAGCCCATGAGCGGCCTCCTCCGCGGGGCTCCAGATCCTTGCCCCCGGCTGGCGGCCCACACGGAGCCCGGGGGTCCCGGGAAGACTGCGGCAGCGTGAACCAGCCTCCAGCGCGTCCTCCACGGCCGCGGGCGAGCGCCACGCGC